TGGCATAGGGGTCTGTTGTGTCTCTGTGCTATCTTTGCACTCTTCACCTTCATTGTTCAGATTTAAGGAAATGTGGAGTCACAGACAAAACACTGGCTATCAGGTCAGCTGGTGTGAGCTTCCTGCAGCTTCCAAAAAGCTAATTTTCAGTCTGGCTGAAAGCAAAAAACCAGGAACGAGCTGTCTGGGATGGACACGTTGGAACGGTTGTTAGAGATCACTGCTGGGGAATGGTGGCCAGCTGGCCTAATCACTGGAATATTCATCAGCGCCTGATGGTTCTTTCATTTATAGATGGCCCTTGTATTTTGGAGAGCTCACACTTGTTGTGCAGCAGGAAGACACAGTAGACTGAAACAAGCTGTAATAATCCGTTAAATTAATAACATGGACAGACAACATAATGCTGCCTGGCCAGAGGATTCTTACTTGGAGACCAAGAAGGAATACTGCTGTACAAGCCTACTGCTTATAAATGTAGTAAATTATGAAGCAATGACAGACGTCACAGCTTCCTCTGATAAAGAAACAGCTCAGAAAATGGAAGCAAATCTTTTGCTGCTGATTCTTGTGCAGCTTGTGATCATAAAGTGGTCATGATCCGACCCGTCTGAGAAGCGCTGACCCAGAGGGCTGGCATCATAAAACAGGAAAGCCTGAGCTGCGGTATCATCGCCTCCATCTGGCAGGAGGCGGCTCAGGCTGTTTTCAGGGTGACTGTCCTGCCTGCAGGAGCCACCTACAGAAGTAGGTCACGCTCAGGCTGTCCTTCTTGATTAGTGTCACAGAGCAGCACGTACAGCAGAGACTGCAGCGGGACAATGCTCCACCTCTGATGTTTTCATGCGGGGCGTTATGGTGCTGCTAACAGCTCAGTGCTGTAAGTGCAGTCTGCGTCTTCAGTCATCATCGGCAGGCCACATGTGAAGTCCCGGATAGCCGGTGAGGCTAACGCATGAGTTGATGATGTAATGATCTGCACATTCCCTGCTTGTGTATCTTCCAATAATATTTCTTTTGTCGTGTAAATATACAAATACTGACAACATTTTGCATTCAAATCTCAGTGAAACAGTTCAATTCAATTCAATTCAATTCAATTCAATTCAATTCAATTCAATTCAATT